AAATTAATAAAATTTTACCCATACTCAAACTACTTTCAGCAAACCACGTACCCTTCCTTACGCTCCGTTTCACAAAATGTCCATTTTCACCAGATTTCTTGTACTTGCACTGCCATTCAAACTTATCTGTAATATCCTTCCTTTCACACAATCTCATTTCATTCCCACATGTTGGACATTCATACTTATCCGCAATTAATCCTACACTCGTATACACCATTCAACCAATTCTTTTGAATTATCAGATAAATGCATTAAAAATTTAGAGATTCACTTTAAATAGTGCCATGCATCCAAAATTAATCAACACTATTTCACACAACACACAATGAAGCTTAATACAAAATAATATACAGTCAAAAGTCGTTAACCTGGACTCGTCAGGACTTCGGCGATTCCGGATTATAGATCATCAGTTTAAATTGCGTAAGATGGCATGCAGAAATTCTAAAATTAAAAATATGAAACCGTAATTTATGAAATAAAGAACAATTATGTTCTAAAGGGTATCAAAATTTACAAAAAAAAGCTTAATATTTATTTGTTTACTTTATTAAACATTTCTTTCAATGTAAGTTGTTTAATTTGCTTCATTTTATGTGATAATACTTTCTCTTTAATTCTATAAACAGACATAATTTTTTGTTCAGTTACAAAGTTCAGTTTTTGTTCAAGTCCCGTTAATTGCTGTGCCGAGAATACCGACTAACTTGTCAATCGAAATTTTTTCGTTTTCACTAACCTGTGTGTCACATTCTTCATGTCTTTATCCATTTTTTGCAGCAATTCCACTTTTTGTTTGATGGACATCGAAACATACTTTCGTTTTGTACGATCCTTTGGGAGCTCCAGAATCGGAAATTCTATTTGACATAATCGAAAGTTCAAGTTTACTTTTATAGTATTGCTCTTACAGTCTGCAAAGTCAAGAGTGTGCGCAATGCCATTTTTGTGCAATTCTGGGATGTTTTTTTAAGTGAAAATAAGTCAACATGTACATGGATGATACCGTGTATTTGCAATTCTTAAAAATGCTGCAAGCAGTGGGCGATTCTGCACCGTCTCCCAATTTCGCACCTAATCTTCGTCATGATTAAGCACTTTTGTTCCATAAAAGTTCTAGCATAAGTGTAATTCAGCTAGCAGATTGTTGGAAAAAAATGTTGAGTAAAAAAAAAAAAAAAAAAAAAAAAAAAAAAAAAAAAAAAAAAAAAAAAAAACATGCCTTTACTTCGTGAAAACAAAATAGTGTCCAAAAAAAAAAAAAAAACTAGCAGATTGCTGTAGCAGGATTAGTCGCCAAATTTTCGCCAAAAAATCGCCAAGTTACCATAATCCGAAGATTAACTTATATTAAAAAAAACATATCTTATATTAAAAATAAACTCATATTATGGGTTTTTTCCTGCAAAGAACCCGTTGCCAACACTGCTGTTCTAGTCACCAAACTTTCTAATGGTAATGGCTTTAGCCATGTACGGTTAAAATTTAAAATAAAAAATGATATAAAGCATATATAAGTTAAATTTAGTGTTTTAAGGAAGATAATTTATGCATAGTGTGATATCACACATATGTAAGTCAAATTTAGTTTGCTAAACATAATTAGCACAAAAGCATGATATTACGTATATGCAATTAAAAATTAGCTGAAGAAACATGCTACTTAATAAAATGAAATTCAGGTTGGTAGAAAAGTACAAGCATATGCAAGTAAAGATTACTATAAAATAGTAAAGCAAATATTAGTATTATTATTGAAATAGACTTCTAATTAATTATATTATTATAAAAGAGTTTTTAAAAAATTGTACACTCATATCTAAGAATACTTCCTTTCTTTTTTCAGCTTTTTCGTTGCCCTGAAGAAGGCTGTCCTTTTATTTAAAAAATCTATGCCATTAAGTAAATTGCCAGAAAGGTATTAGCCTAAGAGGATATAATCTAAAACTAAAAGAAAATTTTACAAATAAGATTTTGCCATTATGATTAACTTTATGCTGACATAGGCATTCCAGTTCTCAATCAGCTAGATTTTCCTTGTGAAAACCACTTTTTTTCATAATTTCACTTTCAGAGACCACGTGTCTGATTTTTGGACTGGGCATGTGCACCACTTCCGGATTAACGAAATATGTGAAATGATTATTAGTCTGATGCATGTGATATCCATGCCTGCATAAGAATAACTTATGTCTTCCAGGTACTACTTTGGTAGACGGCGTACATCGAGATGAAATACCACATTTAGTAAGGAATTATAGGCCAAATAAAATAAAAACATCTGCCCTGAAGATAATGATAGTGCTGACAGATCAACTTCCAATTCATTGCGCGCCGCGGCGTTAACGATAAACAAAGTTTAGATAAGCAAACATTAAAGTTTAGATAAACAAAGGATATGCCTTTATCCATTTTTTGCAGCAATTCCACTTTTTGTTTAATGGACTTCGAAACATACTTTCGCTTTGTAGATCCTTTTACATATTGGTAAATATATATCAGGAAATTCTATTTGACATAATCGAAAGTTCAAGCTTACTTTTATAAAATTGCTCTAAACAGTCTGCAAAAAATAATAAGTCCGAATCCAATTCCGAAGATTGATTAAGGAACAACGCAGTCTGCGACATTAACTGAATTAGATAATTTTAGCCTAGTAGCTTATACCGTCCATTATACATTAAATGCGCATTTGTAATCGTATTTTATGCGAATGCGCACACGCATATTCGCAGCCGTAAAGGTCTTAACGACTTTTGACTGTAATTGGTTTTAATATCTATAAATTTAATCTAATGTTTTAAACATTATTTATGGCTGTTAAATATTAAAATAAATTTAATTTTGCATTTTTTTTTTTTTTTTTTTTTTTTGAAAAATGATGTTATTTAGTATGATTATTTAAATAATTGGCTGATCTTTGGAATTTGGCGACATTTTGGAGGCGGTAAAGGTTACTACCTAGGACTTTGGTAATAATGTGAGAAGTACTCAGTTCCGATTACGCATTATTTTGTGTGAGGTAAATGAGAGATCATGAGATATGTCATGTGACATTAATGGACGAATTACAGTTCTTTAATCGGAAAAGGGGGAGGAATTTGGACTGTAGTACTATATTATATTGTATTAAGCTTCATTGTGTGTTGTGTGAAATAGTGGAAGTGTACGTGCCACATAATGAAGATTCTGAAGATTAGGTTAAGTTAGTATTTTTAATCATTTGAGGATATTATTTTTATGCATTGTTCTAAATGTAAGGAGTATATAAATTAATGATGATATTGATTTAGCAATGATTTAGTTTAAAGTAATTAGAATTGTAATCTAATTTTTATTAATTTAATGTATGTGCTTATTTATATTTTAAGTAGTGTTTTTTAATTTAATTATATTTTAATTTAATGATCGTGATTTTGGGTTATATGTTTGTAGTATTTTGGAATACGTTTGAGTAGAATACGTTGAGTATTTTTCATGCATTTTCGTGAAATTTTTCTAATTTATGAGAAAAAAGCAGTGTATATAGATATAGTGAAGAGTGTGCGCAATGCCATTTTTGTGCAATTCTGGGGTGTTTTTTTAAGTAAAAATAAGTCGACGTGCACATGGTTTACTGATATTTTAATTAAATTATAGTTATTTTGTGAATTTTATGTTTGTAAGAATTTGGTATACGTTTCAGTTGAAGTAAACGTGTATGGAAATAATTTAAATATTTGACAATAAGTATTTGTAACCATTTGTAATGTTTGCAGTATGAATTCGTTGGTGACGTTTATAATATAATAGATAATTTAGAGGTAAAAGTTTTTGGATATTTTATTTATTTATACATGGAAATGTTCATCCTTGGAAAGGGTATATACTTTTTCGCCATCATATATGTGCTTTTTACCGAGTTTAAAGATTCACAGAATTTTTTTGCATTTTCGTGCAAATTTTTGTAATTTATGAGAAAATAGCGGTGTAGATGGATCAAGTTAAGAGTGTGTGCAATTCTGGGATGTTTTTTTAAGTAAAAATAAGTTGACGTGTACATGGTTTATGTGTATGTGTTATTTTGAAAAACGCGTAAGGAGTATGGTATTGTGCACTTTTTCCCAATTTTGTAGTGAATATTTGTCATGATTAAGCAGTTTTGTTAGATAAAATTTCTAGCATTAAGTGTAATTCGGCTAGTAGATTGTTGGAAGAAGTGTTCAGTAGATAAAAAGAAAAGAAACATGTCTTTGGCAGCGGGAAAAAAAAAATAGAGGGTTGCTGTAGGAGAGTTGGTCGCGAAACTTTCGACAAAAATTTGTTAAGTTACCATAATGTAAAGATCAACCAATTGCACAAACTCTGTGTCCATGTACACATCGATCTGTTTTCACCTAAAAAAAAAAAATCCTGGAATTGCACAAACTAGGCATTGCGCACTGCCTTAAATTTGTCCATGTACATATCAATCTATTTTCATTTAAATAAAATCAGGAAGCTAAAACAAAGTTAAAACTATCATGGTAAACAGAAGTGAGGTTTCATCGCCAAAATTTTTAAAAAATTGTCGCTAATCAAAGGGGCACCCAATTCTACACTAGAGCGAATGTCTATATTATACAATGTATTAAAAACAGATAATTTTAGCAGTTCAGGAGTGCAATTATTACGTTACACCCCAATGTTTGCAAATTACTGTTTTCATCAAATGAAACTTTATACTACAAAAAATGTTGAAGTTAAACACACACACCAAAAACAAAAATGTGTGAGTTGCTGATGGAAATATGTCAATAAAATGACAAAAGAAATTTATTTTAGATGCAAAATCATGGGTTAAAAAATTCAAGTCTTCAAAATAATGTTAAAATGTTACATAGCAGAAATAAAGATGCTAAATAAATATACACAACACACAGAATACTTATTCCTACTACAATTGCTATGTTAAAGAGGTGAGTAACATATATCAAGAAGTGCATACTTCAATTAAAAAGTAAAAACAGGACTAGTACCTCCTTTCGGACAACCTCCTTGATCACACCGCAAATCACGACCGAAAACATAGTAACTCTATTGCGCATGTCCATCTAATTTTCTTTTCATGTGTTGCCTCTCAGTTGAAATTAAAATATGGTACCTGCGATGTAACATTTGTATTTCATGGCATCTCTCAATCGTGTACCTGAACAAACACTGTCAAATTGTGTACTGTAAAGTCATTTCTGGAATTTCTTCATGCTCGTAAAATCTCGTTACTATAGCGGATAAAGTACCCAAATTTGACACTTTTCAATTTAATTAATTTTGTGCTGAGAAAATATTTCACTTTTGAAATTTTGAACAGCATTATCACTTAAGCTATTTTTATTTATATTATGTAGTAAAATGCATAGATTATCAATTTTTGTATCATAAATCACGAATGCCTTTAGCAGAGCTAATGTAAATAGGCAACGTTTTTCGTAAAGTAGGGTTCAGTTTAACAACAGGCAGAAAGGCTTATTTAAAATGCAAAAATAAATTCTCTTTACTTCTAAGTGAAAGTCCACTTATGTACTTTTGAAATGATGGCAGAAAATTTCTCCTCTACACTTGATTTTAGTGATTTAAATGTATCCCCTTGGCTTATTGAGCAGTGTACAGCGATGGGTAAATTTATTTATGTTTTTAATAGTTTAAAAATGCAATAATTAATATTTTTAAGTGTTAAAATTCAGTTTGTCGGTTATAGTAATGTTTATCTGACTACTTTATTCTTATTTTATTTTATAGGTATTATGAACCCTACGCCTGTTCAGCAATATTGCATTCCAAAAATACTTGCTGGAGAAAATTGCATTGGAGTATCAAAAACTGGTTCTGGTAAGACGTTGGCATTTGCTTTGCCAATATTGCAGAAATTGGCCGAAGATCCATACGGTATATTTGCATTGATTTTGACACCAACAAGGGAACTTGCCATACAAATATCGGATCAGTTTAAAGTAATCGGGAAACCTATTCAATTAGAAGTAAGTGCGTTTCGAAAAAGGAATACAAAAAAATTATTATGGTTGTGATATAGCGTTGTGATTAAAAGGGTAGTACTTGCTATGTAGCCATTTCAAATTTATGTATTTATTTTTTTTTTAATTATCTAGGTATCTGTTGTTATTGGAGGCATGAATATGGTAGCTCAAGGAAAGGAAATCAACTCTCAGCCCCATATCATGGTAGCAACTCCTGGCCGCTTGGCAGATCATTTAAAAAGTAGTAATGATTTTTCATTCAAGAGAACCCAGGTTTTGGTTTTGGATGAAGCTGATAGACTTTTGGAGGGACAGTTTACTGAGCAGGTAAATATAATGTGTGCATCATCTATATAAAATGCTAGAAGTACACCAAAAATATTTCTTTATTTGTGTTTTCCTGACAGAGATATTGATTTTTTTTTTTTTTTTTTCAAATTTGTGCTATTTAACACGGCATTACTCGCACAAGAAAAAAAGGTACAAGTCTAATATACGCCCTAATTTCACCAAATGTGGCGATATGTGTTCTGCGCTGGTTTTTGGCACGATTGCGTGTTCTATGGCAACCCTGTTGACGTTGAAAAATCTTTCGCTGGAGCTCGTTGGTTCGCCTCTGTGTCTGAGAAGATGGAGGGAAAGATAAAATGGTAGTTGTTAAAATGGTCGGCAAAAGGAAATATGATTGTGGCTATCCTGTTGAGGGGTAGTGGGTATTTGGAAGTGTGGAAAGAGGGTCTGGGAGATTATTTTTAATGGCAGTGCGTGATAGAAGTAAGGATTTGTAATTTTATTTATTTGTGAACCATAGTATAAATTTTCTGGATAATGCATCTGGCTGTCATGTAAATAAAGATAGTGATTACGTGGTGGCATGTTAAAGGTGGTATGAAATTTATATTTCTGCTATTCGAAAACTCATTAATTCATGGTAAGTGCATTTTGTTTTATCCTTGTTCTTATTTTGTAGAATGTTATGTTCATTGGTTCTTTAGTATGAATTTCTGTCGTTATTGTTGTTTTTTTAAATTGTTTGAAATTTATTTTAGTTTATTTTGTTGTTTAGTGTCTAGACTGTACAATTCGTAGATCTTTTTTAAAGTTGAAACAGAACGCTGTGTACATGGTATTATTTGAAATTTATTGTTGTTATGTTATTTTATTAAAGCGAGGAGTGCGTAGATCGTAGATTCCTTCCTTGCCTAAATTATGCAATTCGTAGAATTTTTTTTTAAGTTTAAACAGTATGCTGTGTACATGGTATTCTTTGAAATTTATTGTTGTTATGTTAATTTATTAAAGTGAGGTGTGCGTAGTTTGTAGATTCGATCGTTGCCTACATTGTGCAATTCGTAGATATTTTTAAGTTAAAACATGTTGCTGTGTACATGGATTCTTGTCAAATATTTTTGGTTAGAAACTTTACGTTTTTGGTATCTAAATTTTTTGTTTTTGTTTCGGATTTTTAGCTAAATTGTGTGTTCAAAACGTAGTTTTTGCATGTGCGAAAACCGCGTTTTTGGAGACATTTTAGGCTAAAAGTTCAAAATGTAGACAAAAAATTTAGATAGTAATGTGGCAGCGTAGAAATTTGGCGACTTGAGGGCGCATATCAGAGTAGTTCCGAAAAAAAGAAGGGGATTGCTCATGCCTGGTATAACATTCCCAGGGCAGTTTTTTTCCTCTCTTTTACCATTTAATCTGTACAAAAGAACAAAAACAGAGAAGAGAAAACGTAGTTTTGAACATATATTGAAAATTTTACCTTTGATTTGCACATTTCTGACAAATGCATGCCATATGTTTCATGCATACATATTTTTCACAGACAAATTTAGTTTTTCTGTCTTTTTTGGCCTCGCATTCAACACATCTTTTATATGTCATTTTGGTACTTAACGTATTAACGTAACCAGGCCAAAATTAGCATAAATCGACAAATTTGGCAACCCTACGTGTTATACGTAGTTTTTCGTAAAGAAATTATTTTTCTTATTGGTTAGATTGAATGCCCTGAAATACTTTAACTATGGGTATTTGGGATCTGCCTGCGAGTGAAAAAGATGCTGTTGAATTGTTGCAGGGATATGGAATTATACCGAAGGAGCATACTTGTAAAAATTCTCATAAAATGAAACTGTATTTTGGAAAGCAAATCTTCTGGAAATGTAATGTCGAAGAGTGCAATCAACATTTGTGGTGTGAGAACCGGAAATTGGTTTGAAGGTAGCCGAATTTCATTTGTGACAGCGGTGCGCTTCATTTATTGTTGGTGTAAAGAGTTAACCTCAATTAAATTTTGTGCAGAAGAGATGGGAATTGCTGACAAAACTGTTATAGATTGGAAGCTCAAGCTGTTAATGGCGAAGACGGTTTTCAATCAGTGCTAAAAGCAATAGCCAAAAGATTTCCGCCGAAAAAAATAATTCTGCAACAACTTATTCAAATTCGAAACCGGAAGGGTTTAATTGCTATTTTATATTTTAAAACAAAATAATATAAAAAACTGTATTAAAATTATCTGTAATTAATAAATGTACATTTTCTTTCTATTCATACTTTTTTACTCAAACTTACAAAATCGCCCAACTGTTGCAAGAACTAAGTCCGTCATTTTACTTTTTACCATGTGTATCGGCTCATATTAGTCCAGGGATTCATCCCGAAGGACATGCTTTCGTTGGCATTTTGCGTCGGACTCATAAACGTCGGTTCACTTTCAAACTGTGCCAAAAATGTTAGAGTCCTGCATTATATTGAGAATTAAATAGAAAAATCTGCTAATTATTGTCTATTTCGCGCATTTGATAAAACAATAGTACATAGAGCCATCGAATTTTGAATGACGAAATGCGATATGGGCTCTGAAATCCCATTTGGAATTTGTTTGATTAGAGTTTATATTTTTGAAAACTTAATGATTTTTGTTTCAAATCTTTAAATGCGAGAAATGGCAACGTTATAAAAGAAATCTTTAATCTCCGCGCGAGACGTGATATCGGAAATTTCTAAGATAGCTTAATTTAACATATTGCGATATTGCTCTAAACTGAATTTTATGTTAAGTGAAGAACATGATATTTAATAATAGGTACACTCAAATGTTAAAAAGTCCTTGACGCTTTAAATGAAATTTTCAGTTTTTTTTTTTTTTTTTTTTTTTTTTTTTTTTTATGAATTTTTATTTTAGGCTTTGTGGGAGCATAGCTTGTTGACTTATAATCTTCTATCAGCCAGTGTTTTTAGAAATGAACGTCGGGTTCGATGCCTAGTAGTTGGTTTCTTTGTTGATAACAAAATTATCCCTGCTTTTATTGCAGCAACGTCCAACATGAAAAAAAAAATGGTGCTTGCTAGCCATTCAAACCAACCATCTTTCCAATAGCCACAGGCCAACTACTTGTTTTTTTAGCCATTGAAGCCGTTTCATTCATGACATGGACGGCAACTTTAATAAGGTTATAAAAAGTTATTTCTGGTTTCATGGCTTTTGCACTCTCAAGATCAATTGCATCATCATTATGCATTGTAGACAGGAGAAGCACGTTTCTATTTTGGAGGGATTGCATAAGAAACAATGGTTGTTCCTTTCTGAAACTCAGAATGCTAAAAAATATTGGAGGAATTTCTTTTTTATTTTTCCTCAAAGTTCCAAGACCTGTTTCCCCCCCCCAAATGTTCTTGAGAAAGTGTATAAGATGTATACCAGTTGCCCAGTGTTAAATTCTTTCCTGAGTTGTGAAGAGGTTCCATTAATCTTTTTTTATCACACTATTAGGAGAGTTATCCACTTGAAACAGACTTTTTGGCTACTGTCCCGCATAAATTTCTAAGTGTAGAAAACTTTGGAATCGACCAGCGCAAAATTTTTGATTCCATATTTGGATGGTTTTATTAGCATATATTGCCTAAATGGGCATCGAACTCTAGAAAGTTTCGGTTTTTCATCTGTTGAGACATATTTTTCCATGTTGTGCGACGTTTAGCAATTTTCTACAAATACTTGAAAAAAAGATATTGGAGCTAGTTTATCGAATTCTTTCCAGTTTCTGGTGGGTTTGTGCATTATCAAAGCGATGACATAGTTGTATGGAATATTTCAATTCCAGTGCCGTCTGTTGTCCAAAGATCACGTACACATGGGATGATTTATGCAAACCGGCTGATCTTTACAATATGGTAACTGGTAGTTTGGCGACATTTTGGAGGCGATAAAGGTTACTACCTGGGACTTTGGTAATAATGTGAGCAGTACTCAGTTCCGATTAGCATTATTTTGTGTGAGGGAAATGAGAGTCATGTATGTATGTGAATTACATGGACGAATTACGTTTTCTTTAATCGAAAAGGGGGGAAATCGGGAAAATCTGGAATTTGTATTTGCCTTTATCTGTGTTGAAACGTGTTCGTTAACTTTTGGATCCCATGGCCCAACTAAAGTGAATTCGAAATGCGTATTTAGTGGGATTGAAAGGGGTAATAAGTTTCTTAAGATTGTGCGAGAGAAGTAAGATTTTATTAGTTATTTATTTTACTGGTACCTTGGTGTGAACTAGAAGTATGATTTTAAAGATCGAAACAAAATAAGACAAGTTATCGGACACGTAATCAATATTCGAAGAAGAAGGTAAGTTATATTTTTTATTATTGAGGATATATTTTTATGCATTGTTCTAAATGTAAGGTGAAGTAAATATTTGCCAAAAGTGCATGGAAATAATTTAAATATTGACACTAAGTATTTGTAACCATTGTAATGGTAAAGATTAATTAGTTAGTGACGTTGTTATAATGATAATGTAGAGGTAAAGTTTTTGGATATTTTATTTATTTTATCGGAATGTTTATTGGAAAAGGGTATGTACTTTTTCGCGTCAGGTAATTCATATATGTTCTTTTTACCGTGTTTAAAGATTCAGAAAAGGTATGCATTTTCGTGAAGTTTCTAATTTCGAGAAAAAAGCATGTACATGGATAGTGAAGAGTTGCGCAATGCCATTTTTGTGCAATTCTGGGGTTTTTTTAATAAAAATAGTCGAGTACATGGTTTAGTGATATTTTAATTAATGATAGTTATTTTGTGAATTTATTTGTAGAATTTGGTATCGTTTAGTTGAAGTAACGTGCA